CCCCATATTTTCCCATATTCTCTGGGTTTTTGTCTTCCCTCCCACTTCCCATATTTTCCCATATTTTCTGGGGGATCGACGATTCATTGTGTCTGTGTGTTTTTTCCCCTCCTGAGTGGTGACCTGTTCGCGCGGTGACCTCGGAACCCCGAGAGTCCTCACCGCACGGTCCGCCACCGCATGGCCTGGAGACCCCGGAGGCCGTGGTCGCCCCAGCCGTCCTCGGAGAGCGGCACGAGTGCCAAGACCGTGCGGTGACCGTGGATCCCCACGGGCTCACCACGCCCAGACCCCCGACGTCGTGACTTTTTCGTACGGCGGCGAGCGAGGGGGGGAAGTGGGAGGGAGCAGGCCTTTTCAGAAGGCGGAGGGAACTCTCAGAAGCCCTTGCGCCTTCTGACAGGTTTTTTCTCTTCCTGGAAGGCTTAGAAAGCTTCTCAGAGGGCCGGGGGACTTCCGAGCCTTCTGAGAAGGCCTTCTCCTTCTCACTTCCCCCCCTCGCTCACCGCCGATTCATGACGTCGACCCCCAGAGGTCTCGACCCATTCCCCGGGACCAGATTCTCATCCCGAGACGTTATTGACAGTCCCGAGGCCCGGTGAGGGCCCCCAAGGGCCGAAAATAGCGACAAACCTCCCGTCACGATGTTTCCAGGACCCGAGGGGGTCTGGGCACGGTGCCGTCACCACACCGCCTAGGGGGCCCCCGGCAGCCCTCTGGGCCCCCCTCGTGGCTAGGCAAGCGCATCCCACTACTCGCAAAGTCACTACTCGCAAGTGGCCTGCATCCGCCGTGGGAGATCTACGATGTCTCAGATCGAGGCGACGACAGTTGGTTTGTTTGTTCGGACGTTTGCGAGTGGGCACCCTGCGAGTAGGGGAACGCGCTCGGCGGGCGGCGATGAGACGACGGGGGCCCTGCCCCCTCCCAACATGTTCGAAAAACAAAAACAATGTTTTAAGAACATAGAGCCGACGTGCTAAAACAAGACAATCTCAGCCAAAAACATTCTAAGAATATTTCGTGCAGGCCACAAAAGCTTCTTCGGACATTCCCGGGTGGGCCTACAGGCGAGCCAGGAAGCTTCGCCACTGCTTGATGGGGGCCCCCGACAACCCTCCAGGCCTCCCTCGGGGGCGCGCAAACATGGATTAGCGAAGCGGCCGGTGCCGCCTCGCTGGGCGGCGGAAATCCGCGATGTCCCGTGGAAACGAGACCCGTCGCTAATCCACGCCCCCTTGATCCATGTTTGCGATCGCCAGCCTCCCTCATGGCGATGCAGCGACTGGGGCCCTGCCCCCTCCCGGAGCCTCGGGCTGCCGGGAGAGGAGCGCACCCCCCCCTGGGCCGCGGGCGCGCGCGCACACCGTAGGGGCGCACGGCGGCAGACCGCGCCAGGCGCAGGCGCCAGTCGGGCAGTCTCGCGTGCGACATCCCGGACCTCCGAGGAAGAGGACGATTTCGGAAACACGGAGCCCGAAAACGTTTTCATCTCTTTCGGGGGGCACATCTTCTGAGTTCTTTTTGTCATAACACCGTGCCCAAGCACGCTGAATCGGACGCTTCGTGTGGGGCCTAACTGAAACCAACCGAATTCGGCGCATGATACGCATTTCCATATCATGGGGTGTACGTCCGACCTCCGAGGACGGGGACGACTTTTCGCAAACCCTGAGCCCAAAGGCGGGGAGACGCAAGACTCGGGTTCGGGGGACTCGGGTTGCCCTGATAGGGGTCATCATGAAAGTGACGGGACCCGATCCGAAATTTGACGCGAGCTCCTGCTGCAAACATCCCAGGATAGGGGACGATTTCGGAAACCCTGAGCCCCAAAACATGTCCATCTCCTGGGGGCACATCTTCCACGTCCGCCGCCGCCCGCCGAGCTTCCGCCGGCTGCCGCCGAGCTGATACTGGCCTCGTTTTGCTTCCGCCGACCCTCTGCCGCCCTTCCGCCGCCTTCGGTCTGGGGGCGCTCTCGTCGCCACCGCTGGACTCCCAGGGAAACCCCCTCCACAACGCATCCCAGCACGGGCCCGAGAGCCCCCGACCCCCGACGTCATGAGTTGTTCATGGCGTCGACCCCCAGAGGTCTGGACCCCTTCCCCGGGACCGGTTTTTCATCCTGAGTCGTTTTCGTCGACGGCCCCGAGGCCCAGTAGGGGCCCCCAGAGGCCGAAAATATGGCAGAACCTCCCGTCGTGATTTGTTCATGACTCGAGGGGGTCTGGGGCCGATGTCCGACCCCGTCCCCGGGATCTCCGGGCGCCGCGGAGTCGCGGGCAGCGTCGGGGAAGGGCTCGCTCGTGTGCTCGCGGCCTGGGCCTCCATGGGGCCGCTGTCGGGCCCCTTCGAAGCATCAGCCGGAGGGCCCGCGACGGAGCAGATCTGCCCCCGGGGTCCGTGGTCGAGGGCCGCAGGGAGCCCGCATCGTGCGAGGATCGCCACGCCGGAGGTCTGGGTGCCGCATCTTCGAGCCCCAGGCGGGGAGCGGCGAGCGGGGGCCCTCGGCGTGTGCGAGGCGGCCAGCCAGCAGCGCCAGGGGCCACTCCTTCCTGCACGCCGAGGGCCCCTCCCCTCCTGCACGGCAGGCTGGCGCCGTGCCGACTTCGACGCTGGTTTACGACACCACGTCAACCGCTCCACCTTTTGACAGGCCGGCGGCTCCTCGGTCGCCAGGCCCCTCCACAGTGGCCGATTCTAGCCACTGGCGGCGTTCAACGTTGAACGCCCGCAACGGGGTCGCCGCTGGTCGACACGACGCGAAGCCTCGCGCCACAGCGACGCTGTCCCACGGCCTTCCGCCTCCTTCAGCGGAGGCCCTGGAGAGCAGCGGGCAGCGCGCGGTCAGACCGCCCACCGCGTGCTCGTGCAATCGCTCGAAGTGGCTCCAGGTCCGACGACCGAAGTTCCTTCACTCGATCCTCCTCCGTCCCCGGCGCCGCCCTCGCTCCTCCCCGCGCTGCGCGCGGCTGGCTGCGGCGGTGTTCGCCGCCTCCAGCGCTCGCCAGCTGGCGCGCCCCGCCAGAGGTGAGGGGGAACGTCAGGGAGGGACCTGCTCCGGGGGGGGGGGGCGGGGGGCATGTCGACCTTGAATCGGAGATGCATGGCCGATAGACCGACGACAGGCCCCCGATAGCGAATCCGCACCTTCCTGGGCGGGTTGGGGCTACCACGGGCCCCTGTCGGCGATCCATGGGCGGTTGGGGGTCGCTGCATCCCCCCGGAGCTTGGCCCGTTCCCCTCGAACGTTGCCCCTGAAGAGGGCGCCCCACAGAGAGACAGTGATACCAGCAGACGTCACAGGCGGCGGGCGCGAGCGCCGGCAGGTCAGGGGCAGCGGCGCCAGTACACATGCGAGAACGCAGGCCGTCAGGCGAAGTTGTCGTTCCCGCTGGCGCTCATCTGGGCGATCGCGACGGTCTGCACGGCTCCCGTGCCCTTGAAGTTGCCCTTGGAGATGCCGCCGGGCGGCCTGTAGTTCTCTGGGAGGCACGGGCCGCGCCACTTGATCTTCCCCAGGGCGGGGAGCTCGCCCATCGCGGCGCTCCGTGCGACGAAGGCCGGGTCGTTCTCGTCCAGCAGCTTCTGGGCGTGCTCCGGCTGCGCCATGATCGACTTGATGGCCGCCTCCGCGCGCTGGAACTCCAGGTGCTGCTTCTTCGCCAGGTCCACCTGAGCGACGATCAAAAGCGGGTCTTACGCGAGATGACGTCGCGACCTTACGCGGTGGCTTGCGCGGGCCGCCGGCGCGGCGCGCTGCAGTGGAGACGAGGGCGCTCACGCGCGACCTCACGCGAGCAGCTGACGCGCCAGCGTCGGCGCAGACGACCCCGCTTTGCTGTGTCGTCCGCCTTGAGGTTCTTGTTCCTCTGGATCAGCCGCTGGGAGTCCATCTGCCGGTGCCGGATCTGCTCGCCGCGGTCCCGCTGGATGCGCTTCAGGAGCGCCGCGAGGGCCTTGGACTGCTGCTGGCGGAGGCGCTGCTCCTGGCGCCGGGCACTCTCGCCCACCTGCGACGCCTGCCGCGCCAGCTCCCACTCCTGGAGGAACACAAAAAATAAAGGGGCCCAGGGGCACACAAATAAATAGACACAAGTTCCAGGATCCCCCCTAGTGTCCCATTGGGTTTGCGTCTTCCCCCCCACGTCCCGTATGTTCCCGCGTTTTCCTGGGAACCGACGATCCATTGTACCTGTGTGTCTCCCCTCCTGGGAAAAGAAGCACGGAGGTCCGCGCGGATTTTGCTCCGATCGGCGCTGGACCCCCAGAGGCGGCGCCGTGCTCCGCCAGGGGGGCCCGGCGCCGATTCGAGAGATCCGCGCGGAGCTCTAAGGGTGTGTGTTTGCGCAGCGTGTTGTCGTCCGAACTCCTCGAGCTGATCGGCGTCCTCCTTGATCTTGAAGGCCTCCTCGTACTTGCCCATCTTGGCCAGCGCCTCCTGCTTCCTGCGCAGCTCGAGCAGCTCCCGGGAGGCCTTGGACTTTGGGATCTGGGACCGCAGCTTCTCCTGGAAAGCGGCGAACTCCTTCCCGTGCTGCTCCTTCAGCCTCTCCAGGCTCATGTACGCCGTGGACTCGTAGTCCGCCATGTACTTGTCCCAGGCCTCGAGGGGCCGCAAACGGCGCAAGCATAAAGTTACGGAGCTCCGCGCGGACTTCTCGGTTCGGCGGCCCCGCTCCCTGGCGCACGGCGCGCGCCAGGGGGAGGCGCCAGAGGCGCCGACAGGGGGCCCAGCGCAGATCCAAGAGATCCGCGCGGAGCTCCGAACATCTATGTTTGCGCCGTTTGCTTGCCATGGCTCGGAGGTCCATTCCCCGTGCATCTGTCGGTTTCGTTTTCGTTTCCTACGCGAGATGATCCAAGGTGCTCCTCGGCGGCCCTCGGCGAGGCAAAATGCACACGCTCGAGCGATGCCAAGCTTGCTGTTCTCCGAGAGCCGCGGAGAAGCCGAGGAACTGCTGCTTCTGGGCCTGCTCCACCTCGTTCATCTCGTGCTGCTGCGCCTGGTCCACGAGCCTCCGCTGGCGCTCCTCCTCCTTCGCGCGGAGCTCCTCGTACTTGCGCCTCGCCCGCTGCGCCTCCACGTACTCGCCGTTGGCCTCGCACTTCTTCCGGTAGGCGTGCAGCCGCTTCAGCAGCGTGAGGGGCGTCGTGGACTCCTCCTCCTGCTCCTCTTGCGCAGGGGGGCGCCCCCTGCACGCCCGTACACCGAGCCTGGGCGGGCCCCACCCTGCTCGCCCAGGATCGGCGTCTGCCCCGTGCCAGGGGCCGGCCCAGCCAGGATCGGTGCAGGAGTACAGCCGGTGCCCGCCGACGAGGGGGGGGAAGGGCGAGGCGGGGCGGCCCCCCAAGAAGAGCCTCCTCCCCCCCTTCTGCCGAGGTGGCTCTCGGGAGCCCCTGCGCGCGGTGGCCGACCCCCCTCTGGGAAGCTCCCTGCCTTCTCGGGAGGCCCCCCCCTCGCCCGCGCCCCGCGAGCCCAGAACGACGCTCAAATGGAGGAGGAGGAGGAGGAGGAGGAGGAGGCCGAGGAGTTGGAGAAAGGTGAGGAGGAGGAGGAGGAGGAGGAGGAGTGGGAGGAGGGAGGAGGAGGAGTCGGAGAAAGGTACAGAGGAGGAGGAGGAGGAGGAGGAGGAGGAGGAGAGAACGAGAACGACGCTCAAAACGCCTGGTCTCCTGGCCCAACCAAGCATCCATCCCTGGCCAGCTGCTCAAGCTGCGCCCGGCCGTGGCGACGAGGGGCTCTCTCTCTCTCTCTCTGGAGAGGAGAGCGACGAGCCTCCTCCTCCTCCTCCTCCTCCTCCTCCTCCTCCTCCTCCTCCTCCTCCTCCTCCTCCTCTTCCTCCTCCTCCTCCTCCTCCTCCTCCTCCTCCTCCTCCTCCTCCTTAGAACGAAGCAGGAGGACCAGACATCCGACGTCGTGCTTCTTCATTCACCACGTGGCACCCCAAAGGAGCAACCAAAAAAGGACCCTCACCCTTTGGGAGGGGACCTGGAAGTATCGAACCAAACCGCCCACATCGATTGTCCCAAATGCAAAGACGGGGACCTCAGCGAGGCCACGTCTTCAGTGTTATTAGGGTTATGGGTTCTTTCGTTCTCGATGACCAAAGGTCTGGACCCCTTCCTCGGGACTGGCTTCTCGTCCTGAGCCGTGGTTCACGGTCCTGGGGCTCCGCGAGGGCCCCCAGAGGCCGAAAATCTGCAACACAGCTCCGTGGTCATTCTCTCATAGCGACAGGATGTCAGCGGGAAGGCACGTGCTGCGAGCCGACGACGACGACGACGACGACGACGACGACGACGACGACGACGACGACGACGACGACGACAGCGACGACGACGACAGCGACGACGGCGACAGCGACGACGACGACAGCGACGACGGCGACGACGACCAACAGAACAAAAGAGCAAGCCCGAGGTGGACGGAGAATGACGGCGACGACGACGACGACGACGGCGACGGCGGCGGCGGCGACGACGACGACGACGACGAGGTCGGGGGTGAGCGGCGAGGCGCGGCGCCGAGCTCCGTCGTCCCGTCCATCGCTTCCTCCTCGACCCTCCTCAGCTGCTGCACGACGGCCTCGAAGGAGACGAGGTCCACGCCCCCATCGCCGCTGAGCTGCTCCGCGACCCGGCGGCCGAGCCCGATGTCCCTGCCCAGGGAGACCACGAGGTCGGGCACCCTCTCCACCTTCGCCTGGCCGGTGCCCTCGTGGTCGTACCTGAAGACGGAGCCGGGACGAGGACAGAATCTGGTGAGGATGAATCGAGAACCTCTGACTCTGAGATCCGGCGGCTCTGGAGAATGTCTTGGGCGCCGCGGCATTCTCAGAGCGTTCCGGAACGCTCTGGAACGGATCTGTCTCCGTCCTAGCCCCGCCCGATGCAGATCTCCCACGACCTGATGTTTTCCATCCGACTCTTTTCCTCAAAAATGGATCCTGGACTCAGAACTACTGGGGTAGGGGTCGGAATCTCTGAGGCCGCAGATTGAAAAAACAGATCGGAAGCTGTCTGGATCCCCAGGCCGCCGACATCGTGGCTTCTTCGGTCTGGGCGGCTTCTCGCCCATCTCATCTCCCGGGAGTCCCGTCTCTGGGAGGGCCGCGGGGCCGTCAACAAAGGCACCTTGGCTGAAGAACCCACGGGAAAGACACTCACACACAAACAAACAAAAACAGACGTTTCCTCCCCACGCTCTGACGACGGCAGTCCGCAGGTCAAGATGGCGAAGGCAGAGGGGCAGGAGGTTGGAGGAGGAGGCCGACAGAGGAAGAGGAAGAGAAGAACGGATCAGGAGGAGGAGGAGGACAAGAGCAAGCCCAGGATTCCTCAGCAAGGCTCCAACACAGCCTCCCGTCCCACGTCCCCTCCTCGGTGAATCCTTGCAAGCATGCCCTTTCACTGCGGGAAGCGCCTCCCCTCAAGGACGAGGGCCCCATAGGGCCTGCCATCCGGACGACGGCCCCGTCTCGACGAGAATGCAACGTTGACGAGAACCCGAAAGCTAAAACGAGAACCCGCCTCCTCCTCCTCCTCCTCCTCCTCCTCCTCCTCCTCCTCCTCCTCCTCATCCTCATCCTCCTCCTCCTCCTCCTCTCCTCCTCCTCCTCCTCCTCCTCCTCCCCTCCTCCCCCCCTCCCCCGCCTCCTCCCCCTCCCTCCCCTTCCTCCCCCTCCCTCCTCCTCCTCCTCCTCCTCCTCCTTCTCCTCCTCCTCCTCCTCCTCCTCCTCCTCCTCCTCTTCCCCCTCCTCATCCTCCATCTACAAAGAACACCGAGGCTGGAGTGTAAAGTTCAAGGAGGTGTCCAGCGAGAGCCTTTCTTTTTTGCGTTTAGCGCACAAGTCCACCATCCGTCTAGCTGCTGCACATGTTGGGAATCATTGGACTTTGTGCCTGATTGAAAAAAGAACCCTCCTCCGTTCGCGAAGAGATTGCGCGTTACGTGCGTAACCTGTTGGCCATCGATCTTGAACACGTTTCAGGCGGTCTTGTTTCTTGCCACGGAAAAAAGCGCCCCCCCTTCCCCCCTCCCCCATCCGTCTTCATGCGCACGGCGCGTTGGCGAACGCCACACTCTGGAAACGTACCGCCTTCCACCCGTGCAACTCTGGAAACTGGTTTCGAACGAACGTGAGCGGCGCTACGGCGAGAGCCACAGTTTCAGTACGAGTCGCCCTCCTATGGCCCTGGCGAACATCAAACGAAGGCGAAAAGCCCAAACAAGCCCAGACCGCCCTATCAGGGCGTCTGGCAGGGAGGAGTTATATGCTACTTGTAGAGAAGAGGGGGGAGGGAAGAGTGAGAAACAGGTGTCCTAGAGCCAAGAGTACCTCTGAGCAATGATGCTGGACCTCTCCTGGGGCGCTGTCCAATCAGGGTTCCGAAGCGGACCCAACAGTGACGACGAGGGCCCACCCACAAGGAGGCCAACAAGTAAAACAAGCATCAAGATCCTCAACTCACCCTTCTCCGCCCTCCAGTTGGCCATTCGCGCCACCTACAAAAACGGCCATCCGCTCGGGGCGATCCAAGCCTCACCCGAAGGCGCTAACCGATGCGCATACGCGGGAGGGCACCCGATGGCCCCAACGCCTACGACAAACCCACCAAGAATTTCACAGGTTGTTCTCTCCCCCAACCGATTGATCCATCCTGCTCCTCCTCCCCATCCTCCTCGTGCCACTTCTCCGCCCTCCTCCCCTATTCGCCTCCTCCTGCTCCTCCTCCTCCTCATGTGACGAGAACCCGAAAGCTAGGACGAGAACCTTCCTCGTCCTCCTCCTCCTCCTCCTCCTCCTCCTCCTCCTCCGCCTCCTCCTCCTCCTCCTCCTCCTCCTCCTCCTCCTCCTCCTCCTCCTCCTCCCTCCTCCTCCCTCCTCCTCTCTCCTCCTCCCTCGTCATCCCTCCTCGCTCCTCCTCTTCCGCCTCCTCCGCCTCCTCCTCATCCTCCGCCTCCTCCTCCTCCTC